TATTGTAATTTCTCCCTTATTGTTCCTGATGGAGCTTATTAGAGATTTTTCTTTTCTACTTTTAGTTAGTTTAGCCAAAGGTGTGTCAATTTTGTTTATTTTTTCAAAGACCCAAATTTTGTTTTGTTAATCTTCTGTATGGTTTCCCTATTGTCAATTTCGTTTAGTTCTGATTTGATCTTAATGATTTCACTTCTACTGGGTTTGGGGTGGGTCTGTTCTTCTTTTTCTAGCTCTTTGAGACGATTCATTAGGTTGTCTATTTGTGATCTTTTAGACTTTTGGATATAGGCATTTATGGAAATAAAGTTTCCTCTCAGGACTACTTTAGTTGTGTCCCATAGGTTTTGATAACTTGTGTCTCCTTTGTCATTTAGTTCAAAGAATCTTTTGATTTCCATCTTGATTTCCTCATTTATGAAGTGATCATTCAGCAGAAGGTTGTTTAGTTTCCATGACTTTATGTAGAAATGAGAGTTCCTGTTATGGTTGATTTCTACTTTTATTCCATTGTGATCTGAAAAGATACATGGTATAATTTCTATTTTTTTAAAATTGTTTGAAACATGCTTTGTGTCCTCGGATATGGTCAATCTTAGAGAATGACCCATGAGCTGATGAGAAGAACATATATTCAGTGGTTTGGGGGTAGAATGTCCTGTAAATATCAGTCAGGCCCATTTATTCTAGAGTTCCACTTAAGTCCATTATTTCTTTGTTGATTTTTTGTTTGGAGGATCTGTCCTGTGCTGTCAGTTGGGTGTTAAAGTCTCCAACTATTATTATGTTGTTGTTTATCCATTTGTTTAGATCAAGTAGAGTTTGCTTTATAAATCTGGGTATACCTAAGTTGGGTGCATATATATTTAGAATTGTTATGTCTTCTTGTTGAACTGTACCCTTCACCATTATATAGTGACTTTCTTTGTCTTTTATTACTTTTGTTGATTTAAAAACTAAGTTATCTGTAATCAGCACTGCCACACCAGCTTTCTTTTGGCTTCCATTTGCTGGAAATATTGTTCTTCACCCCTTTACCTTTAGTCTATATGCATCCTTGCAGGTTAGACGTGTTTCCTGAAGGCAGCAGATGGTTGGCTTGTATTTTTTTATCTATTGGGCCAGCCTATGTCTCTTGAGTGGGGAGTTCAAGCCATTCACATTTATTGAGATAACTAATAGATGGGGCAGATTTCTGTTCATTGTGTTGGGTTGAACTTTGTTGCTTTGTTTTCTCTCTTGAGCCATTGTGGTATCTGGGCTTTGATCTTTAGCTTTTGAGTAGATTTACATTTGTGTGTTTATTGTGCTATTCCGTGGGTAACACTGTTTTGAGTACTTCTTGAAGGGCTGGTCTTGTCTTGGTGAATTCCCTCAGTCTTAGCTTATCTGAGAATGTCTTGGTTTCTCTTTCGTATATAAAACTTAGTTTTTCAGGGAATAAGATTCTAGGCTGGGCATTATTCTGTTTCAGAAGAGTGAGAATGGGGCCCTAGTCTCTCCTTGCTTGTAAAGTTTCAGTAGAGAAGTCTGGCGTTATTCAGATTGGCTTTCCTTTGTATGTAACTTGCTTCTTTCACCTTACAGCTTGTAGATGGGCCTCGTTAGTTGATATTTTGGTCGGTCTGGTGACTGCATGTTGTGAAGTCCTCCTATTTGCATTGAATCTCCCAGGGGTCCTCTGAGCTTCTTGAACTTGTATATTGATATTTTTACCAAGGGCTGGGAAATTTTCCTCTATTATATCTTTGAATAGCTTATCCAGCCCTTGAGTGTTTTCTTCTTCCCCTTGGGGTAACCCTATAACCCTCACATTAGGTTTCTTCACATAATTCCACATCTCTTGTAAGCTTTGCTCTTTTCTCTAGTTTCTCTGCTCTATCTCTGTGACTGATTTATTTAATTGGAAGGTGTTATCTTCAATCTCTGAGATTCTTTCTTCTGTTTGATCTACCCTGTTCTTGAGGCTTTCCACTGTGTTTTGTAGTTCCCTGAATTGATTCTTCATTTCCAGTCCAGTTAGACTTTTCTTCATTGTTTAAATTTCTTTAGTGAATTTTTGTTCCAGGTCCTGGAGTCTTTTTTTGGTTTTCTTTGTATTGATTATCCAGTTTTTCTTGAAACTCGTTGAATTTTCTTATGATCCATGCTCGAAATTCTTCTTCTGTCATTTTAGTGGTCTGATTTTGGTTAGTGTCCATTTCTAAGGGGCTGGTGTTCCTCTTTGGGGGTGTGGTTTCCGTTTGAGTTTTCATATTTCCAGAGCTCCTTTGCTGATTTCTTCCCATCTGGATCAGTTGTTGCTTCTTTCCTTTAGGTTTTTGTTTGGGTAATGATATACCCTGTTTAGTCTCTGAGCCAGTAGATGGTGTTTGTGGGTGAGATTCGACCACACCCTGTATGATGAGTCAGTAGGTGCTGTGAAAATGGTGTGCAGAGTGTCCTCCCTGTCGGTAGGTGGTGCTTGCTCAGAGGAGCAGGCTGCACTGTTGTTTTTGTGTCCTGTAACCAGCTCTTGTTCCTCTGGAGATGCACTCTAGTGACTCAGGTGGTGGGTCGGGCTCTGGGACTTCCAGGTCTATCCTTATTCTCCACCTCAGTGAGGGCTGGTCTGGGAGTGAGTCTGGGAGGAGCTGGGTTGGGTAAGCCTGCCCTCAGGCACCACAAATGCTGTTAGCAGGGGTCAAAGTTCTATTCTCTGCTTCCAGAAAAATCTGTCAGGGAGGGGCCGGAATGGCCCCCGCTCAATCAGAAAGTCTGCATGTGGGGTTGGGGCTGTCTGAGACCCACAGTCTGGAGCAGGCCCCACTCCTTTCCACCCTCCTCAACTCCACAGCTTCTCCTGGGCCTCTGCCAGCAGGCCAGACTTCATGCTACCGGATCTCCCCTGGCTGTGATGCGGGCCGGGAGGTTCCCTGTGCAGGGCCATTGCCTGGGCTGGGCACATGGCCCCCCCTTGGAAGGAGGGTTGCCCTCAAGTACGCTGATCTTCCCTTAAAGGCACACACACCTCAGTAGGCTGTTCACGAACAGCCCTTCTGTGCCCCGTGCAATGCAATACCTGGGTGCACAGGATCTGGTCCAGAGGTCTGACCTCTGGACCCCGGAATTCAATCCCTGACCCCACCAGGGATAGGAGTGCCAGTCCCAATTCACTCATGGGGAGCCCAAGCTGGGTCGATGTCTCTCTGCCTCAGGGTCTGCCCCATTTTTCTGGAGTCAGCAGGCCAGAAGCACCTGGAAGGGCTGGAGGGTAGGGAGCTCACAGTCTGAGTATCCCTCAGTCAGCTGGAGGGCCCCAAAAGGGAAGGTTCCGTTCCCTGGTGATGTCTCCGGCTGGTAGCTATATTGCCTCTCTCGGTAGCCATGGATAGGGACAGTGGAGGGGAGAGTGAAGCAATATGGCGCCTGCCACGCGGCTCAGGTCTGTGCACACAGAGGTGCCCCAAGGGAGTTGGGAGCCTGGTGCCAGTTCCACTACAGGCTTACTGCTCACTGGCGGTGGCAGTCTCTGACCTGGTGTCTGCCTCTGGCCTGGTGTCCGTAGGTTTCTCCACTTGCTGGGGAGCCCACCAGCTCTCTGAGATGCAAAGGAGGGGAAAGTTAACCACTCCACCTACCCTTGCCACTGGTCTCCAAGCTTCTTGGGAGGTCTCTGCTTCTAGTTCTCCTCCGCAACCTCCTCCCATGGAGACTCCCGTAGTCTCTGGTACCCCTCCTTCTGACCCTCGTCCAATGTATGCTCGTCTGCTTGCTTCTTTCTTCTAATTTCTTCTAGAAACTGTCTTTTTTGCAGAGACACTCTATCTGGTGGTGTTTCTTATCCATCATCTTGCTCCACCCCCTCCTCAGCCTTGTTTTTGCTTAACATGATGTCTGTCACAATGAAATGAAGTAAATGGTTGCTAATAATGAGTATCTTCGTATTAGAAGTCTTGGTGCCAAGCAATAGAAACCAAATTGGATTGACAAGAGGGAATTTACTGAAAGGATATGAGAGGGCCCACAGAATTGGCATGAAGCTAGAGGACCACACCTGAGAATGAGCAGAAAGCAGGATAGCTCTGGCAAGTTAGAGGCAGGAACCATAATCATGGTCTTCATAGCAGGAAGCATCTGCTCTACACGCTGCCATGGGGAAGGAGAACCCACAGTCCAGTTTCTTCTACACTGGGGTGACCCACTTCAGGGTCAGAATCCTCTGGGAGTGTGTGCTTAGCCAAGCTCAGAACACAGGCTCACAGCCAGGAGTCAGGGGGTAGGAGGGAGGAGAGAAATTACTAGCCCATCACCTTCTATAATGGGAGCTGGTACCCGGGACCCTCCTCCCTACACAGTTGTACACAGAGGAAGAGAGACAGTTTCCCAAAAAGAAACAAGGGTACTATTAGGAAAGGGGAATGGATGCTGGGCAGCCCAAAATGACAAATGCCCATTATTCCAAATTATTAATACTCTGATTATTAATACTCTGATTTACATTGGGCATAGTCTGTAGTCTAGCCAGTCTTTATTTAACCTGTGTAGTTCTTGAAACAGTCTGAAATATTCCTCTTTGCTATTCCTGTCCTAGATGTGGACTAAAGACAATCCTCCATATCATCATCCTGTTCTCATCTGAGTGGGAACATCCTTCCAAAGAGATTAGATAGGAACTCAGAAGTTGAGAATATTTTAGTAACAGCACTAGATACTAAGATAAGCTACCTTTATTTATTTATTTTTCCAAATAAGTAGAAATACATTTAAAGCTATTATTTCCTTAAAAACAGCTAACATGGCACCAGAGAAATTTTGCTCATCTTATTAAAATTGGGGCCTGTATAGGTAAAATGTATTAGGTAAAATGTATTTAGTTTCCATTAAAAAGAATGCTTCTGACACAGTAGAGGTTACTCTGTCAGAACTGTGTCAGTAACTGCAGTTACTTTGAAAATGGCTGTCTTAGGTTGGTTGGTTCTTAACCTTTTCAACTGATTCCATTTGCTTTTATGTTACAGGGGAAAAGTTATCCATTTCGGGGAGCTTTTCCACCAGTTTGGAATCCCATTGCATATCTGGATTACAACAATCTGTGGCGGACAATGGATAACATGGGGAAGGAGGTAAATTGCATATGACCAATTACTGATACTACAATGGCAACCATTTAATATCCTTGTGGTGCAGGGAACATTGCTCCAGACATTGATGCATATCATTTCCAATGCACCAAACAACTCTGGTAAGTTGTCCACTTGACAGATGGGGAAAATGAGTGGCAAGAACTTATGTAATTTACCCAAAACCACACAGCAAGGGATTCAAACCCACTTTCTTTGATACTATTGCCTATATGTCTTCAACTCTACGCCATTGAGCACTTTTATGACATATTGTTGCCAGGTATCTCTATTTACAATTGTCTTATCCATACATAATGTCACTTTAGATTGTAAAGGAGAGAAGGATTTGCTGCCCCAAAGTGTTGTTGTTTGTTTGAGACAGGGTCTTGCTCTGTTGCCCAGGCTAGAGTACAGTGCTGTCATCATAACTCACTGAAGCCTCAAACTCCTGGGCTCAAGTGATCCTCCTGCCTCAGCCTCCCAAGTAGCTGGGACTACAGATGGATGCCACCACACCCAGCTAATTTTTTAATTTTTTTGTAAAGACAGGGTCTCACTGTTGCTAGGCTGGTCTCAAACTCCTGGCCTCAAGTGATCCTCCCACCTTGGCTTCCCAAAGTGCTAGGAATATAGGCAAGAGCCACCACGCCTGGCCCTCAAAGTGTTTTTACTTAGTCTCAAGCTCTGTAACATCACTCTCAAACTTGAATTGGGAACATAAAATGGGTATTAGCTTTCAGTAATAATAATAATAATAACAGCATATCAATTTATACATTGTTTTGGCAATAGTATGAAAGCATAGACTCCAAAGAGTTCCTCGCTTTTTTTCTACATAGAATTACATGCCAATCACACATTCCAACACAGAGACCGAGAGACCCATTTTCAGAGGTTCTCATGAGGGCCTCTGGGCAGTGGAATTACCATCACACTTCAGTGTGGAACCTCCTTTCTCTGCAGATTCCAGCTGATGCACCCTGGCAGGCACCACATGCTGAAGAATGGGACAGGATGACCATGAAAGAGCTCATCAATAAAATCTGTTGGACAAAGTAAGTAGGCTTGACTATTTAAAATTTACTTTTTATCTTCCTATCTTATCCTTCCAGGAATGAGCCAGAGGGGCAATGGTGGGAGGGGACAGGAAAAGTGGATGTTTGAGGGGAGTATCAGCCAGGAATCACCTGCAGGATTGGTGGGGGGTGAGAAGGATGGATACTGTGGGGAGAAGATATCTTCTAGGATGACCCCCAGGGGCAGGAGGGAGACACTCAGAGTGGATGGTGTGGGAAATGGTGTCTTCCAGGAAAGACCCACAGGGTTAGGGAGGAAGAAGGATAGATGATGTGGGGGAATGATATCTTCTAGGATAACCCACAAGGGCAGGGGAAAAATAGGGGGGCATAGATAATTTCAGTGGCCAGAATCTTACAGGAATGTGACAGAAACACTGGGGGGAGAAAGAGAAGTGTGAATATTGTGGGAGGCGAATAGTATTATTCCAAAATGACTCAGAGGGTTAGGGGAAAGATAGGAAAGTTGAATGGTATGGCAGAATAGTATCTTCCAGGAATGAGCCACAGAGGAGGTAGGGAGGGTAGATAGGGTGAATGGTGTAGGGGGATGAAATCATGCAGGAAGGACCCAGTGGGGTAAGGTAGAGAGAGAGAAAACATGAATGGTCTGGCAGGATATATCTTCCAGGAATAAGCCACAGGGCAGAAGTTAAATAGGAAGGGTGATTTGTGTGAAGAGGATGGCATCTTCCAGGAATGATCCATAGGGCCCATGAAGAGACAGGGACTTTGGATGATGTGGGGAGAATGGTATCTTCCAATGGTCAGCAGTGGGGAGACAGGAAGGGTTCAGGGATTTGAGGAGGTGGGATCCAGGAAGAGAGGACAGGTGGCAGCTTTTGTGAAGACCTTGAGGTAAAAAGGATATTGGCATGTTTCAGCAGCTAAATGGACAGTATGTCTAGACTCCAGTGGTGACCAGAGCAAGTGGTATAAGGGGAAGTTGGAGGACTGGTAGAGGATATGTTGGCCACATTCAAGCTTTGGTCTTTCTTGATTGAAAGCCATTAAAGGGTTTTAAGCAGAGAGATTTTTTTCCAGAATATTATGGGGATACAAATGCTTTGGTTACATAATTTGCTTTTGTCCAGTTTGAGTCAAAGTTATGTGTGTCCATCACCCAGATAATGTGCATTGTACCCATTATGTGTGAATTTACCCATCCCCTCTACTCCCCTCATTCCTGCTTGATTTCTGTTAAGTTTTACTGCCATGTGTGCACATAAGTGTTGATCCATTAGTTCCAAGCAGAGGGTTTTTTAAAAGACCTCATTGGCTGCCATGTGGAGAAGGGCACAAGAGGGGATGTAGAATGACCAGGTAGGAGCAATCATTGTTGTAGCCCAGGTGAGGGACCATCGTAGCCTGGACCAGGGTCATGGCAGTGAAGATGGAGAAAAGAAGATGGTTGTTAAAACAGACGAGAGCAAATAACCCAGATTAACATATTTGAAGCTAACCCATAATTTCTTAAAAGCAGGAGAAAACTTTAGTTTCCCCAAGAGTTAAAAAATGCATTCCTTCAGAAATTGAGTCCATGAGGTTTTTTATTTTTTTTCTTCTTTCGATTGCAATAGAAATACTTTCTAACCACTCTAAATTGTGTTTCAAAAACGTGAGGTCCTCGAACACCTGTATGTATTGATGCCTGACTTCTCTTGTTCTGTGAACAGGACTGCTAGGCAGTTTGCTTCTCTTTTTGTAAATATCAATGTGACCTCTGAGCCCCATGAGGTGTCTGCACTGTGGTTCCTGTGGTATGTGAAGCAATGTGGGGGCACCACTCGGATATTCTCGGTCACCAACGGAGGCCAGGTATGATGTGTCCATTCTGATACTATAACTTCCTTAGTGACTTTGCCTTCCCCCCAGAGGAGTATCTTTAATGATTACTTAAATATTTTGAAACATGAATAATTAGAAATGTGAAATGGTCTCAAAAAACTTTTCTGAAAAAAAAAATTCTCATTTCCTTTTTTTTTATTATTTTTTATTTTTTTTTTTAACACAATGCCCCCAAGACAATCATTTCCTTTTTTTTATTCCTGAAAAGAAGTTCACAGCTAAAGAATGTTTCATTTTGAATTAATTAGTTTTTAGGAATTAAGTTCCTTCCTTTTGGAGGCAGGTAAAAATAGGCTGTTTATGTTGGAGAAGCTAAATTATGAAAATAAATTAAAATTAATTTCCAATAAATTCTAGTACTTGCAAAATTATTGTACTTAAAGTCATCTCTGTTCCAGACATGAGGCATCTGCCCTATGTGTTTCTCAGAGTTATGTTTTTACATTAACTGTCATAGAATGGAAGTAACTTTTCTTTTTTCTAATTCACACTAGTGATTTATGGCTACTCTTTCAATAGTAAATTCTACATTTTGAATTCTAAATTTTTGCTGCCCACTTGCATTTGTCCAGCTTCCATATCACTTCCTTTACTAATAAATGAACTCATCTGGTTCATTGGCTGGACACACAGCAAACCAGTGGTGAAGCTAGAATTTACTGAGGGTAAATTGCAGGGGGTCCTGAGTGAAGCATTGAACCTTGGGGAGGTTCTCCTGGCCCTGTGTTAGTGGTGTGGACTCAGTGGTGGGGTCCTGGGGTCCAGACATAACTCTAGAGTCTCAGGGGTAGAGTTGCAGGCCCAGCAGCAACCCTGGATCTACAGGGGCAGAACCTCAAACTTGGGCACAGTGAGAGCTTCAGAGCTGGCTCTGGGATTTCAGGGGCAGAGTCTCCACCAGTGTGGGGACTGCTCATGCCCAGACGCACAGGCAGGGGTTTGTCTCAGCATACCAGGGGCCACATAGATGGGCTGGGGCTGCTGGTTGGCCAGGTTCCCACACACGCAGCTAGCACCCACTGAGGCAGTTGCCCCGGGCTTGCCAAGTGGTGCCTGTGGTGTCTGAGGCTCCTGCTCTGTTCAGCTTCCACACCAGGGTGGAGGCATGTCCAGTCTTCTGTCACAGGGCATGACATGGGGGAGCATCTGTTCCCTGCCTGGCCTGGCAGGGGTGATGCAAGGGCTACTTCCGGAAGGCTGGGTCCCGAATGGACCTGGCTCCGTGTGCCAGAATCATCAGGATGGCCTCAGTTGCAGAAACCTGGGATTGTCAGGCACCAGCTCTCTGCTGCATCTGCTCTCTAGTGCACAGACTCTGAGAAGCTCCCTGATCAGCCCATAGGTCTGCAGTGGAAGAGCGTGACCCCTCACAGATTGAGCTGCCTGTAACTTTTGTTTCTCCCCTAAAAAGCAGTGTCCCCTCAGGTTGCTTCTATCCTGGTGTCTTCACCTCTTCCCAGAAGTGTGAGTTGTATTGAGACCCCCCGGTTTAATCTCCAACATGGTGGGTGATGCTTGTAACAATCAGCCACGTCCTGTTTGCTTGAATTTGTAGATGCTGTGATGAGCTATAGAGTTTTTCTCCCTGTCAGTGTTTGATGCTTACAGGAAAGAGCCAACTCCAGAGATGTTCTTTTGTGTCTGTAATAAGCTCTAGTCCCTCAGGAGGAGCACTTGAGTGCCCCAGGCTTTGCGGGGGGGGGGTGGGATGGGGGTCCTGTAGCTCCCAGGGGGTTGCTTGTTCTCCTCTGCAGCAGAGGCAAGTGGAAGAGCCAGGCTGGGTGTGGTTAGGTTGGGCAAGCCTGGAAGGCTTTCCAAAGCCTTGGCAGGGCTCAGAGGTTGTTTTCCTAGCCACTAGGGGGAGCCGCTGGGAGGAGCATTGAGGCCAGCTCTCCAAACTGGGTTACTACTCATGAGGAAGGGGATATTATTTCCTGACTGGCTGTCAGGAGTAAGCTCTGCCCCTTTTGCGTTACCCTTGTCCTCCAGTGTCTGGTTGCGCTTGGACACCTGAACATGCTACACTCAGTTGCTATAGCGCAACAGTCTGGGATCTCCCCTGCCAGGGGACCTTCACTAATCTGACAGCATACCTTTGAGCCTCAGCAGGGCTCCAAAGTCATTTTGCCAGCTGTTAGGGAAAGCCCCTGGGAGGAGGACCTACCCTAGCCCCGACGGCACAGCTTTCCTTTGGGGGTGATGGGCACTTCCCCAGATCACCATGTCTCCAACGCCCACATATCCTCCTGCCCACATGGGTTCCCTCACTTTCTGATTCCAGCTCTCAAATCTCCCCTGTGTCCCTAGCAACCGGCTCAAGTCCTTGGGGCACAGGATCTGGCCTGTGTGTCTGACCTGCTGGCATGCATCTCCAGGAAATGCCAGCAGGCAGAGGGCTCGAGATTGGGCACCCTGGTCCACTGCAGGTCCTCAAGGGGAAAGGTGCGAGCCTCACTCTCTGTGAAAAGCTCAGACTAGAGGACATGTGAGCTGGGGAGAGGCAGCCACTTGCCAAATTCTCAGCTCAAAGTGCTCTAATGGTTGCAGTGAATGGGGGTGGGGTGGGGAAAGATAAGCGTCTGAATGGAAGAAAGCTGGCTCTCTGGCCTCTTGGGTCACTCTCCTTGGAGGAGAGCCCTGCTTGGAATGTCCAAGCTCTGGGATTGTGCAAGTTCTTGCCACAGTTCCATGGTTGCCACAGTGCTTGGGCTCATGGGGATGGAAAAGCTTCCAAGTAACTTGGTAGCTCACTGATCACTGAAGGAGTGTGGGAAAGAGAGAGGGATCCCTTCTTACCCCTTCACTGAGCTCCAAGCCTCTCTGGGTTTGATCCCCACTGATATCGTTTTTCTTTTTTCCTCTTCCTTCCTTGCAATTTCCTCCTCCTTCCTTTGCAATTTTCCCCCTTGAGGTCTCTGGCAGGTTTTGGTAGTTATTCCTCTGACCTACACCTGAGCTGTGTCCTTTCTTCCCTCCCTTTTATCTTAAACCCTTCCTTCCCTTCAGGATGGTCTGGTAAATGATGTCTCTAGTCCGCCATCGTGCCTTGACGTGGCACATTTTAAGTTTCTTTACTTACAAGCAGAAATTCCACATTACTCCTTTTAATCTGTATTCGACTTTCTGAGATATCTTGACTCATATTTGACATTTGTATTCTTCAGAGGATCCAGGATACTTTTTGGGAAGTATAGTTCAGATGGAATCTTAAACAGTTATCACACTATCTCTATTAAAAACTTAGGTTTATCCTGCAATAATTTAATTCAACAAATAGTTCATGGTCTTTCTACCACACTAAAATTCAAAGTAAGTCTTGGAAAACATAGATCAGATTATAAGTTAAATGGTACTAGTTTCTTGAGCAAGAACAAATTGTGAATTTAAGTCTGAATCACTATGGGAATATTTTTATAAAGAACTTTGGTGGTGTTATTAAAACAGTAGCCAGTTATAAAAGTACAAAACTCAGTTTGGCTGCTCGTGCAAAGTTTTCTGGCGGAGCATGATTAAGGTACCTAATTGCCAAATGGTGAGCTGTGCCTCGATCTACCACTGTGTATTTCTAACCATTCAAAGAATATTCTACAACAGGCTAAAAATAGTCCCCTGGTTCTTACCCAATGCATTGTGTTAAAGACTTACCTCCTTAGATTAAGCTGGAAGCATTTCCATGGTGATCATACCAGATGACGGTGGGCAGAGCACTCCTGGTCTTATAATGGCTGCTCAAGAGAACTATTTAGCAGTGTCTAAAGGAACAAGCAGATGCTTAGCCTTCACTCCACTGCCTCTACCTCAAAACTTCCCAATAGTTATGCAAAAAAATCTGTCAAGGTCTGAGATTCAGATTCTTAGGACATCATTTGGTGATGACTGGTAGGATGTAGCTATCCCTAAGAGCACCCTGAGTATGTTCTCTTAGAGTGACGTTGTCTATAATATGGCACCATATGCATCCTTACCTGCTTGGACAGCCCCAGCTTAGGACTGTGAGTATCAAGGGAAGTTAGAAACTGCATTTCTCAGGCTAAGCATAGCACCCTCCTCTTTCCAGGGCTCCCTCCATTCCCTGCACTCTTGGGCATTTGAAGCTCACAGACTTGCTGATATTCCCATTTGGTCAGGGCAGCAGTGGCATAGGGGAGCATTTTTTCTGGTTTTGTGATTTTATAAACTAGTAACAGCTTTGCACTATTGGAGGCTGTGCAGAAAATGATCATTGAGATGTCTTGGCATCCTCTGCCTCTGTCCTAATGAGTTCTTCCAATAGTTAGGTGTGCAGAGTGTAAAGGTCTGGCCTGTGACTTTCTCAAGGTTTTCTAATTAGTGACAAATAAAATTTTTCTTCTTTGGGCTTTTATAACGTTTCCTTTCCTGCCTACCTCCTGTAGGAACGGAAGTTCATAGGTGGCTCTGGTCAAGTGAGTGAACGGATGATGGACCTCCTCGGGGACCGAGTAAAGCTGAAATGTCCTGTCACCTATGTTGACCAATCAAGTGACAACATCATCGTAGAGACGTTGAATCATGAACTTTATGAGGTAACTGAGTTTAGTCAAAAGGAGCATGTAGTAAGTAGGCCTTGTGTCTTTTGCAGCTTCTAGCCAGATATAATCCAAGCAGTAGCATAATTGATGCTGACATGTTTCTGCCTCACTCTTCAAAATCACTACCCTTGGTTGACCTACCTAGTTCTGTTTTGTTGCCTCATAGTTGCCTCATTTTGTATGTTCTTACTGCTCAGTGTTATTTTAAAATGATAAATATGATTTGTCATACCTTCTGCAAAGCCTACAGCTCACATTTGAGGTGATACTTTGCTTGTGTGTGTTTTAGTGCAGATACGTAATTACTGCAATCCCTCCGGTCTTGACTTCCAAGATCCACTTTAGACCAGAACTTCCATCGGAGAGAAACCAGTTAATTCAGCGTCTTCCAATGGGGGCTATCATTAAGTGCATGATGTATTACAAGGAGGCCTTCTGGAAGAAAAAGGGTAAGGTGCTCTTATTCATATTTAAACTGTATTAAGTGAAGGAACTATACTCTTTTAGGAATATTGAATAGAAGGCACTGAACAAAGTGCTTTCAAATTGATAGAGGAAGGATCAGAATTCTTGGTCTGTTGATTTTCTCAGAGCCCCTGGCAACACAAAATGATGCCAAGAGCACTTGTTGGTAATGGGAGGGAAGAAGGAGATCACATCAGTTGTGTGGCCACCATTGCCTTGGCTCCTGGCACTTGCTCTGCTGCTTACTGTTCATGAGCAGAGTGAGGCCAAGGAGCACCATGGAAAGAGCACTGCACTGAAGTCGCACATTCATGAACTTCACTTGCTTACTGGCATCAGTCTGTAAAGCATAAAATGGTGGCAGGAAAACCTACTTTTCAGAGAGTTGTGAGGATTAAATGAGGCAGCGTTGTGGGACTTAGCAGGCTGCCTGGAGATGGCGACTACTGTTGATAAGCCTTTTCCTTATACTCACAGCATTTCCTCCCACCATTTCTTTCATGGGTTGTTAGGGCTGATTTCCTCTAATGCATTCCCTCTTTCTCCATGTATTCCAGAATCCAGGGCTATCTTACCATTTTTGCCATGCATTGTTTGGTCCTAAGTCCTTTATGTAAAGGTGATAGAGATGGGTCATTTTCAGTGTGCAGGTGAATAGACATTCTTGTATAGTCAGTGTGTGTATTTAACAAGAAATAGCTTGTAGAGTTGGAGCAAAGACCAAGAGTTTCAGATTTTCCTTCCTCTTGGCAAAATAGTTTATGTATATTTTATATACGTGTGTGTCTCCAATGAAGTGATTAATGAAAATCAATCTCCTATTGATTTTCTCCTGGTTAAGACTACTGTGGCTGCATGATCATCGAAGATGAAGAATCTCCGATTTCAATAACCTTAGATGACACCAAGCCAGATGGATCACTGCCTGCCATCATGGGGTAAGAAGCTGGCGATTCTGTGTTTTCCAAGTTGTGTTGATGTATTGATGTGGATACTGGCAAAGTATATTGCTTTGGAATTGAGCTCAGGCAATGATGAATACCCCTACAAAAATATATCATGTTTCTATGTATTAAAATATTATAATAATGTTTCCTCTGTGACACAAGAACACTGGGAAACTTTACTAAAATTGACATCATTTTGAACTTGTGCCCATGTATTTCTTTCACCCATAAAGCTTACATATTGAGGATGGAGTGATAAAAGGAGCTAGACAGGTGGTGTGGTAGCCGGTCTTGCCTAGAGACAGAATGTTCACAACCATCCTTGAATGAGAAGTAACTGCTTTATCTTGTAAAACCTTCCAAATTCAGGGTTTCTGGGCTTTTCTCCATTCAAGACATCTGCTACATAGCAAATGTTAGTTGTTACCCTGAGGTATAAGATGGCTGACCCGTTAGCAGGCACTGTTCAGAGTCAAGCCAGGTCTCAAGTGGACGGCATGGCACTTTTTCTGGTCTGTAACTCCACATTTATCTTTCACCAGCAGTGCTTCACTTACTTTGAAGTGTGCAGATGGTCTGGGCTGTGGTTTTGTTTAGGGAACCCATCCCTGCACACAACTGTCTTACCTGTTGGGGACTAGGAGTCCAGAGAAAGAAGTGGGGTCTCTAAAAAGTAATTGCCAAGGAGTGCCACAACTCTCAGTTGCCTGCCTTTTGACCTCCATCAAAAGCTATACAAATAGAAAGCTATGTATTCTACCACACCGTAACAAAAGAATGCAGCTTCAATAGCAGTCAAGTAACTCTTAGAGACCAGTGGTTTCCCCTTCACCTCTGGGAAATGAATACCTCCTGCTTGAAGAGAGAAGTAAGCTCATGCACATTATGTCATGGAAGGAAAATTATAAAGACAAAGGTAGCCAGACCCACGTCCCAGGGGACTTAGAAAGCAGGCTGTGGTTTCTTCTAGAAAGCAGGTCCTGGTTACCGATGACACATTTTGTAACCACTTTTTTGGTTGTAAAATATTAGAAATAGTACCAGCTTCCCTAAGAAGGGCATATGCTTACCCCATATTGACCATCGTAACAACACATCCTCTTCATCTCTAACCCCATCAGGCAAGAAAGGATAGAGATTATTTTGGCAGCTTGACATCACCTTCTTTCTATATGTCACAGAGAAGCAGGAGGTTGGGGTACAAATTTTGGGAGAATGTCAGTTAAGATCAATCCAACTATGGATGGGAGAACACTGATATTCTTCTTGTCCTGGGAGTTAGATGTAGTAATATCTGACCTTCTTAGCTTTCTTTGGCAGGGCCCTTCCAGATGTTAATGGAGTTACTTAAACAGTTTCTAGCAAGTGATATTCTAATCCGTTTTATCTGGACAATTGCCCCACCCTGCTCTTTGCTTTTGGCTATGGGCACAAAAGCCTAGAGTAGTAACTGCTCAGAGCTAAGTTTGTAACGAATAGTTCCTTTGGGAAACTAGAAAAGCCCTTGTACTTTAGTAATCATGTTTAATTTCCTCAATAAAACACCAAAGAAAGTTATTAAAGGATATTTGTCCAGAGTTAGGATTAGATCAAAGAGGTTATTTCATTCATGACTTGAGAGTTGACAGAAATAGCCAACACTAACCACCCATTGGGAAACGAACTATAAAAAGCTCACAAGATGAGTTGACTAAAGAGGTTTTCAGATAAATCATTTAATCCTTTATCAGATATTGGGGAATTTATAAATTATAAAAATCCAAATCAGCTAAAGGACAATGAAATTATTTCCCCATTAAAAAAATTTAAAGTTGTATTTCTCTTATTCTAGACCAAAAAGACAAATATGTCAGTGCCGAAAACAGATATTTCTTCCTCTTACTACCCTCAAATTAAAGTGTTCCTCAAATTTGATTGGCATTTCATTTAGGGCTATTAACAGAGATAAATTATAAATTTATAAATTACTGCATAAGTCTAAACTTATTTATTCTTGTAAAAAGCCAAAATTTAACTAAAATCATTAACAGTGAGCCATAACTTAAGGAGTAAAATAGATCATGCAAAATTCTGACTTCATCCCATAAAATTAAATAGTTCAAATTTCTTAAATAAGCCACAGCTTCCTCTGAAGTACTGTTCTCTGGATTAACATATTTTATATCTTTACTTCCCAGAATGATCTCTGATAACAGCCCTAAATGAATTGCCAATCAAATTTGAGGAACACTTTAATTTGGGGGTAGTAAGAGGAAGAAATATCTGTTTTCGGCACTGATGTATTTGTCTTTTTGGTCTAGAATAAGAGAAATACAACTTTAAAATTTTTTAATGGAGAAATAATTTCATTTCCCTTTAGCTTATTTGGATTTTTGAAAGCTTTCTAATAATAGTATAACTAAGGATTTCCATGTCACAATGCAATTCTTTAAAATATATGTGCAATTAGTAATGTAAGTATAATAAATAGAATCTATTTGATTAAAGGGAAGCAGACAGGTTATAACTGAGTTTTACTGAGTTACTTTATTTAGAGATTGTGTTAGGTCAGTTTGCAAGGAAGCTGACTGGGAGATGGAGATTTGGGTGCAGGAGGTTTATGGGGAAGTGCTTTGGGCATTACTACCTATAGGGGAAGGGAGGAAATCAGAATCAGGCAGAGGGAGAAGCTGGTCTCCACTGTTGTCCCAGCAAAGACCTCAGCCATCCCCTGGGAAGCTCTGGAGCTAGTATGGGCCTTCAGAGTTGTCCTGAACTGAGACAAGGCCCTTCTCTGCTGCCTAGTACAATTGCTGGGGAAGGTCAGCTATGAGCTAAGGGTACCGAGTACCTAGTCCTTAAGAGAAGGTTTGGGGGCCCACCATGGTATCCACTACAGATACATATTTATATTTGTTTTTATAGCTTTTGTGGAGCATTTGGCAGAAGGCAACAGTAATTACTAAAATAACCACTTAATGCAGCATTAATTCATCTAACATTTGACCTCCTACTGTATACCCAAAAGTGTGTTAAATTTTAGGAGTAAAATATTGAATAGGAGGTGATGACCTGTCATTTAGGAGCCCACAGCTTAGCAGGGGTTTTGGACACAGAGGCAGACTGAAGACAACATGGCATTTGCTTTAGTAGAGGGGATGGGTTGGGCAGAGTTCATTAATACTGCGTAGGTGGAGGTAAGAGCACTTTAAAAAGGAGCGTCTCTTAAGATAAAGGGCTATAACCTGATCATTTCAATATATCTCCTCTCTCCAGCTTCATCCTTGCCCGTAAAGCTGATCGACTTGCTAAACTCCATAAAGAAATAAGGTAAGACTTTATAGCTGAAAAACAGATAAAAAGTTAGCATTGTATAGTGTGTTTTTCACTGACAATAGTAGACTAGCATCAGGAGAAATGTAATACTTCACAAATATTCTTAAAATCCCAACAAGCCAATCTTTTTGTATTTTGCTATAGCCCCCTCAACCCAGCCTTTGCCCATAAGCATATGCTAATTTAATTTTATATATTTGTGTTTATTTCACAGTGGTTAAGAGGTAGGATTTCCTATAAGATGTATGGAGAAAAACTTTAGATGCAAAACTTTAGTTATTAACTGAGTAGCACCTAAGTGGACACATAGGTACTACAGTAATAGGGTATTGGGCAGGGGGGTGAGGGGAGGGGGGCGGGTATATACATGCATAATGAGTGAGATGTGCACCATCTAGGGGATGGTCATGCTGGAAACTCAGACTTGTGGGGGGAGGGGGGGGAAAGGGCATTTATTGAAACCTTAAAATCTGTACCCCCATAATATGCTGAAATAAAAAAAAAACTTTAGATAGAAAACTTTAGATGCAAAAAAAGCTGTAGAAACCAAATCCTGATCCCTTTGCAAGGCTATCATCTATTTTCTAAGGTTCTCTGACAAGGACTGTCTACAAAGCAAATTCCTACATATGTGTTTTGACCTGTAGCAATGTATATACATGAAAATATTCACCACTTATTATCTGAGACATAGTTTGATGTTCTCTTCCTCTGAAAGTTTCCTAATATAAAAGTTATTTTAGGACAGTGACTTTTTTCTCTCTCTCCCTTTCCTTCTTTCTGTCTTATTATATTTGTTTTGTTTTGACTTGGATTCCTTTGTTCAAATATAAATCTTACCTGGAAAAGTAAGCCTTGAACATGAGAGTCATTTGGCTGTTGGGGGGAATGCCCCAGGGAATTCCCAGCCTTCCCTTTAGGGTAGCCCTAAATCCTTTGCTAGCTTTTAGAGAGGTCCGCTGCAAACCCTGACTTCAGTATAATACAATTTATCCATGTAACAAAATCACTTTTACCCCCTAAATGTTTGGAAATAAAAAATAATAATAAAGAGGTCCAATACAAACACAAATATAGATTTCTCTCTGAATTTAATTTAAAAATTAAACAGCTAACCCACTAGCAACCCTTGCTTTGGGAGTTACTTTGATGACTTTAGAAGTCAAGGAAAGGTTGTAGAATATGTTCCCATATGTGCACACAGATTTATTTATTTGAGCAACCATGAGAGATTTGATGACAGGAAGGGAACTATTTTAGTTTCTACCTACTTATTCAATAGAGGAGGAATTTGAAGTCCAGCAATGGGAAATCATTTTTTCAAGGCTCCACAGCTAATGTCTTAGTCTGTTATTTGTGCTGCTATAAGAAAATACCTGAAACTGCATAATTTATAAAGAACAGAAATTTGTTTCTCACAGTTGTAGAAGCTGGGAGTCCAAGATTATGGTACCTACAGATTCGGTGTCTGGCTAGGGGGCCTGTTCCTTAGATGGTGTTTTCTTATGGTGCCCTCACATGGTGGAAAAGGCAGAAAGGGGAAGGACAAAAAGCAATGAACTCTGTGTCCTCACATGGTGGAAGGCAGAAGGGCAAAATTGGCCTAGCCAGTTCCCTCCAGTCCTTTTTAGAAGGTCATTAATCCTATTCGTAAAGGCAGGGGCCTTGTGGCTTAATCACTTCCCAAAAGGCCCCACTTCTTCATGCCATCACCCTGGGGGTTAAGTTCCAACATTTGAATTTTGGTGGGGTGCATACATTCAAACCAGAGCAGCTAGCTTGTGACAGAATTGAGCACATAACTCATACTTTTTTTCATTACACCACACTAAGCTTGACATTTTCTTTTGGATTTCCTGCTTTCCTTATTAATAGTAAAATAAATACCAGCCTGGAGGTAGACATTTGGTCATGATTCAACATGGGGGCAGAACTTCTCAAAAGTTCTTGCAAAGCAAAAACCTTATTGAATATGTCATTGATGAGAATAGTGGTTCCTAGAACTAACTACATCAACATCTCCCAAAGGATGTTTGGAAAATATATTTTGCTGAGGCCTGTAGAGTATGATTCAGTCGATTTGAGGTGAGGCCTGAATATCTGTATTTTTTAATTAGCATTTTTGGGTGATTATGATGAATAGACAGATTTAGAAACCAGTGGATAAATTCAACTGCAAGATGATTTGCACAGTGACCTCTTTCGGCCATCATTTAAAATACATTCTATTTTTAAGGCCAAACTAATCAATCAGTGCATTGCTCTAGCATCCTAGCCTTATATATCTTTTCTAAGAATTTTTAATTTCAAAGGAAGGAAAGGAAGGGAAAGATAATTTCCTGATGTGTTTGTGTGAACTCGTCCTTGGCTCATCTAATAATATGAAATGCAGTAAATAATGACTTACAACTGTTATAACTGGTTTTATCATTCATGAATAAAAACTCCACTACAGTGTAGGTTGATTGGATTTTAGGTTTCACTATGCTTTAATAAAGATTTTATTATGTATCCCAAAAATAAGGTAAGGATCATTAAGCTTTTTAGTATAATGATTGCCAATACTTTTATTTTCTAATTAATTCAAAATGTCTGAATTATTGCTTGTAACACCCTTGTAAAGTAGGTAAGAATTAAGACATCTCTTCATAGACTAAGAAAGAGGGTACCGTACTAGACTGAGGATGGATTTTGATTCAACAAATATTTAAGGGCAGGATGAGGATGAGCATAGCCTCTCCCTGCCATTAATTTGCCGAGCAATGGTGAACAAGTCTCTGCAGCTCACTGAGCTTCAGCTTTGATATCTCTGAAATGAGGGTCTCGGATTAGACAGAGACAGACAGATGGGGCAGACAGTAGTCTTGAGACTTGTTCCCATTCTTCCTTTCCTTCATGATTTTTGATGTGCAGCATGAACACCTTCTTGAAGGAAACCAAACTTTTCCTGATTATCTTGGAACCTAACTATCCACCTAATGTGGAATGATATCATTTCAGGAGTGGCATTTGCTTCTCCCTTAAAAACTTCTATGGGAAAATGATAGCAGTAAGCAACATTTATAATGTTGCCTCCTCCTCCTGACAATCTATACCTATGAGATAGAAGTTCTGGGAGTTCTATAAAATGTGTAAGTGTGAGGATTTAGATAAATTTATAAGGTTACATTTTATCCCACATTTTTCAGAGAAATTGTGGGGGCATGTCTTAAAAATATTTTCTAATGTAATTGGCAACATAAAATCCTATATTTTTAAAACTCTGTTTATTATTAGTAAGCTTGAGTTCCCTGCCCCCCCCACACACACACACATGCACGCACACACATTTTTGGCCATTTGTCTCTTCAGCTTTCAATGCTTGTCTTACAGATTTGAGTTAAACCTTTGGCCACATTTTTTGACAAATATTTTTCCTATTGCTTGTTGGACTTTAACAAATATTTTGGAGTACTTTCAAACATTTAAACTATATAAAGATTTAAAAGAGGTAAATAGGAAAAGTATGTAACTGGGTCAGTGTCAACCTATTTAAATGAATGCTGCAATAGAATCATTAATTTCTAAAATGGATGATTTTCATAAATTAGACCATCTTTTAAATTTGAGCAAGAGGGGTTGTAAGTTTAAAATGTATTTTGTTTCAAGAAGTGTTTAGACAACTACTGATTTTTCAGACATGAAAATGCCATGTTCTGTGCTAGTCATTTATACAATGAATTATGAGGGCAAAGATTATGTTTGAAGTAACATCACGTGGTAAGTATATTATGCCCACCCCTTAGATGCCCTTTGAGTACTGTGGGCCACAGACCAGTGTACTGATCTGTGACAAGTGACAGGTATCAAGTGACAGGTCACTGGACTGATATGACTATAGCTTCTCCCAGTATAGCATATCTTATGCTTTAAAGATTAAATGAGCTTTATACATTTACAGATATTTAAAACACAAGTATAGGATAAAGGGCACTCACTATCATTTGTACTATAGACCTATAAAAGAGATCATTCTAGAATTCTACATATTCCAGAAAAATGACATAGAATCAATTCCTAAGACTGACTAAATTTAATTGAATCTTATTTTTCCCATTTTATCTCAAATAGATAGTATATTGGGTAGTGAGAGAAAATGTAAAAAAGAAGGAAAATTCTGTTGAATCTTCAAATCAAATGACTGTATTGAGGCATAGAAAGCTAAATTTGAACGCTGAGATTCGTGGAACTGTTCATTTTGTGTAATTACAGAGGGCTATTGATTTTCATTTTTCTGTAATAAATTTGGTTCGTTGGTAAGAGCCCTGGAACTTACTGTATTTATTCTATACCCCTCAGTTATTACTCCCCTAACATGTTTTGGCTCTTTTTTGTAGGAAGAAAAAAATCTGTGAGCTCTATGCCAAAGTGCTGGGATCCCAAGAAGCTTTACAAGTAAGAAATTGCCAACTTTAATCCCTAGCAAGTTCTGCTCTCTTTGCTCTAAGTGGTAAAGCAAAGCAGATTCTGGTTTCCTGACAATCTTATTAAGAGAGTATAGAGGGATATTCTTAAGTTGGAGGAAAAACTTCAGCAATCACAAAAGGCCATTAGAAGCTGGTATCAGCTGCATGGAATTTCTGATGCAGAGTCTTCTCCAGGCTGTTTAAATGTTCCCTGGATAACTGGCAGTCAGTTGTGATCAGAGCCTGGAGCTGCAGGTATTATGTCAAGGATGAGGGAGATAGGTTCCCAGAACAGAGGTCCTGCCCTCCTGTCTGTGTCACCTGCCTGCTGTACAATAAAATTTCAGATGTGTCTTCATTTGTCAGTGAAGGCAAAAGGGTATATACTTGACAAGATAGACTGAATCTAGACTCTCTGCCCAGGTCAAAGTCATACTTATTTAACTTTACAGGTGTAGACTCAATTCACAACTCATTTGGGAATGTCATTGCTTTAAATCCACCACTGAAAGTGATGAGGAGAATGAAATTACATATTACTGAAGAACCTACCAATAGCTGGAGGCTCTTTCAGGGGATTATCTTTGAAGCATTCAAATACTAAACTTTCAGAATATGTTAGAGAAATCAGAGAAGTTTCTTTCCTGTCCTCTAGGAAACATTTTCCATCTTAATTGCGCTCCTTTTAGTGGGATTCCCATCATTTAATTTTCCAGCTTAGAGAAAGGATTGGGGAGAAAGTCTTTCTTAGACATTTTTTTGTCTTCTACCTCCTCCTCCCCACCCTTTTCGTAGCAGTAATGTCTGGGTAGATGGGAGAGTAAAGTCTGTTATTTTATAGACTCCAGCAATTTGAGCAGATCTTTTCACAAGCTGATTGTTAATGGAGTTTCCTGGAGACTTAGCTCTAAAGACTTCAGAATCTGTGTGGAGATGCCCTCTCTCCTAGATATTGGAATACTTCATGTCTTCCCTAGTCAAAAGGTTGAGACAATCAAAGTAATATACATGTTTTATCACTTATTACCTCACAAAAGGCCATTACTTGGTACTTTCGTGTTTCCCCCTTAAATGAGTTAGCAAAACAGGATCGTCTTTATTTTCTTAATGTAAACTTTTTGTTAAAGTAAGACACACAAGAGCCTTTACTGTTGACTGGCAGCATTTCAGCTTTGTTTTTCCTTTGGCATTTTTCTCCCCACTGAACTGCAGCCTGTTCATTATGAAGAGAAGAACTGGTGTGAGGAGCAGTACTCTGGGGGCTGCTACACGGCCTACTTCCCCCCTGGGATCATGACTCTATATGGAAGGTACCACCCAAGCACCATGCCAATTAATACAAGACCTGCACCAAACTTAAAAGGAGAAGCAAAGTTCAATGGGAATTCTAGAAACAGTAGTCAGCATCCTTATTTCTATTATCCTAGATATAAGTCAGTTTGTATATTTCTGAATGTCCATAGAAAAATAAGGATGTCAGTATGTAGAACAATGGTTGTCAGCATGTGAAACAATAGCAGAAAACTGGGGAGGACTTCAGATGTCAGCAGTATGGGTGAGAATGAAGCAAGCTACAGTGTCCTCCAGGGGACCTCCTTGAGCTCAGCTCAACATTTAGTCTCACTTGACTGCCCTAGGTTCCTTGGTATCAGTCTACACAGAAGGACATTGAATATGCTTATCTAACACATCTATCTTACCAACAGAGAAACATCAGACACTCCGCCTCAAGGGGTGGAGTTCTAACTGTATACAGCTAAGGCAAAAGGAGATGAAATCCACATAGGATACGGGAGTTCACCTTGACCTAGAAGCCCCTTGCTTTAACCGCAGAAGCAATTATCTCCTTGGAGGAAACAGTTGCCCATTCAGTCCAGCCCTTCCTTGGTTCTCTTCGGCAGGACCTCTTTGTAAGAGGAGGCCATTTTCCTTGCTCTAAGCTAGTCTCCAGAGTTCAGAGAAGCCGTCTTTGAAGGAGACACCCCATATAATCTCTCAGATCTTCCCTTTGCCAGAAATGGCAGTTAATTTCCCTCTCTTCCCACTCACCACCGCAGTTCCTCCTAACTCACTGGGAGTGCCTGCATGGCTGCAGTCTGTGGCCATTCTCAAGAAGAATGTGCCCCTCGGAAAGACTGTACAGCACAGAATGGGCTGTAAACAGGAAACACAGCAAAGTAATCTGATTTTTTGATTGAATGCATGTTCTTAGATTCCAGCTCTGGCTGACTTGGTAAGGTCAGCATCACCTTTAGTGATTGATGATCTGACAGCCTGATTCTCCCTGACTTGAAGGTTCAGATCCTTGCGTGCAGACCCAGGAAACCAGGAGTAGCCTTTCACCTTGGGCTGAGTCATGTGGGTGTTTTTTAGAATGCTGTGAGTTTCCTTGTCTTCTCCAGAGTAACTGAGGGTAGATTGGCTTTTTTATCCTCAGCACCTTCCCAGGTAACTCTGTGTGACCTCTTTGTTCCCTTGAAGGGTGATTCGTCAGCCAGTGGGCAGGATTTACTTTGCTGGCACAGAGACTGCCACACAATGGAGCGGCTACATGGAAGGAGCAGTTGAGGCTGGTGAACGGGCAGCAAGAGAGGTAAGGGGAGGAAGCCAAGGCATTCTCCCTTCTGAGTCACCGCAGGGTTTTTGGCATCTGATCCTGCTAGTTCTTGACGCTGATAAAATCTGTATCTCCACTTCTCTGCTCCTCACTCATGGGGCTTATCTATGGCAAACAGGGCCTTGAGTCTGTCAAAACTACATGACCTCATCTCATTATACCATGGTCACTGTCTTTCAGGTCTTAAATGCTTTAGGGAAGGTGGCCAAGAAGGACATATGGGTTCAAGAACCTGAATCAAAGGTAAGTTCGGCAGCTTCAAAATCCATTGCCTTAAACTAGTCATGGCACATAAAACTCACATCTCCCTTTTTCTAGTCTCTAATTTAATTATAGATATTCATGCACAGATCTTATAGCTATGTTTCATTCCTCCTTGTCAGCACAAGAAGTTTTGCTAATGATCTGTGTTCATTCATCTAGGACATTCCATCAATAGAGATCTCCCGCACCTTCTGGGAAAGGAACCTGCCTTCTGTTTCAGGCCTGCTGAAGATCCTTGGATTTTCTACAACAGTAACTGTCCTGTGGATTGTAATGCACAAATTTAAGCCCCTGGCACGGTCTTAAAGTTCTATGTCATGCTTTCTGCTTATGTCTCAGTACCATCAAAAGGAAAATGTTAACAAAGGTTGTGTCATTGGGTCATTTTTAAGTGCACTGGATTTATCCCCCTTCAATTTAGTCTCAGTCAATGTTAAAGTAAAAATAACCCAAAGAATCATCTAATTAATTTTAGTAAGATCAAACTCCATCTTATTTGTCTGTGTAGACTAACTCGTATTGATTGATAGAATAAACCCTGTGATCGCCTTCAAAAAGTTAAAATTGATGTGTTCATTCAGAACAATTTCTGTATCCTGTTTTTCTGCCCTTTACTGTAAAAAACCTGATGATTTTTAAAAAGAAAGCATTTGATTTTCTCTCTGTAGAAGTGGAATAAGTTAAGGCCCAGTCTGTGACTGTCCTAAGGCAATGGTGCAGTGATGCTACAGAGCCCGGTGGCTCACAGCCTCCTGAGGTGAGCAGGTCCCACTTCGGATCAGAAAATAGTAGAGGAAAGCACTGTGGGAGCAGGGGCTTGCAGACCCTCAAAGCAGGAAAGGGGTATCTTTTTGGGCTGCTGCCTTAGGAAGCTCCTGACCACTTCCAATTCCTGTGACTTTTCTAGGCATCTAGCCTCAGCACTAGCTTAATTTGCATGTTTTCCCTCTTTTGTGTCTTACGGAGCAGAGAGTTTACCAAGTTATAATGCTTAAATTGACGTACTGTGACTTGTGTATAGCTCCCCGGATAAGCCAAGTAAAATGCTGGTCGGAGTGTCCCCCAGGAGGCCTCCCAGCCTAACACTGTATGAGACCAACTAGAATGGGCATCTCCTCTTCCCCCTGAAAGTCAGCCAGACACCAATAGATCCTTGTCAATGACAACATTCTATGCTGACTTCAGGAAAGCAGTATTTTCCATTTTTTTCTGGTGGCCCCTGGCTGTCTGAAGGCCCTTAGGGGCATATTTTTTTTTCTTTTTTTCTAGGACCATAGAATTAAAAGATCTCTTAGCTTACATATGTCTTCAACATGATTACATTTCTGTAAATATTCAATCTCTCTCAAGTACTGAAATATACATGATATATATCTGATTGTTATTTGATGAGACTGTCAAAGACAGAAAGGAAATTAGGACTCTATATCATAACCGCATTTGATTTAGTTATTAAGTTTTATAAAAGACATGAAATTGAGTGATTTTATATATGAAGACTGAGTTCTCTATTTTAGGAGTAATGTGGGCCCAGAAGCATGTCCATCTCTTATCTTTCCCATTTTAAAAAATGGTCAGATTTTTTTAAAGCTCCTTCCAAAGGTTTCAACCATAAAATACTTCTTTTTAAAAATATATTTTTATTTAAGGAGAGGAAACCAACCAACCCAATTTTATTACGTCATTAACTTCATCATAAATCCAAGTTTAAGTCACTGGACCATGGTGTGAAGATGTAAGGTCTGCCAAAGTTTTGCCTATCCTAAGAGCTGGATTTTTCTGCCACTGTTTACCTTGCAATTCAAAAGCATTTTAGCTAATTTAGGCATTTTGTTAATATCTTAGATGTGCTCCCATACATAAGGAGTTGCCGCAGTTTACACTAAACTGATTCAAGAAATCTCATCCCTAATCTATTGCAGCTTTTTCTATTCACTTACTGATTAACTCAGTCTTGACACACCTTTGGGGAAATACTGATTTAAACTCCTTAACTGTGAACAGTTTCAACAGTAATCAGGTTGTTAACGTATTTGAATCTTGAATGTTGAGGGACTTGTTAATATGTGATTTGCCCTCTAACTTTTTGAGAAAATCAATTTATTCTAATTAGATCAACCCTATTAAGCTACAGATTTGAGTATCAAAATAAATGGCAGTCCAGATGTGCCTACACATGAAATTGAAGCTAGGAACTCCCACCACATGTGAAACCTTGCAACATGAAGATACCATAGGTCTTTCTTCTGAACCAGAGAAATGAAAGTCAGTTTAAGAGGCTGATAGAGCCTGGCCCTGTTAAGGCATCCACTTCACCATTCTGAAGGCTAAGTCAACCTCAGTCCATAGTTTGGTAAGGAATTATAATAGATTTCAAAAGTTCATCTGTGTGTCACAATTAACTGTTAAATAAGGTCTCATACTCCACTAAAGAAAAAAAACATTAAAGGATTGTGAACTATGTGTAGTATGATTGTGAATTTGGTGCCTAATGTTCCATGTTTGACGTTTGTCCCAATGCTACATGTGGGAGTATGCATATGTATGTATTTTGCCACTGAAGTAGGATTTTGCCTGTATGGTACTGTTTTGTTGTCTAATAAAGTGCACTAATACCCCTGATTCAGACCTGGCTCCTCTATTCAGTTGATGGCTCTATTCAAAAGATTCAATGGCTTCTTACAGCAGGAGATCATGATGACGTGTTGTTCATGAAGGACAGATTCAAAAACTACTGGGTATTAACTCCAAAGTCTCAAAGTCGGGTTTGACTATTGCGTTTCCTGGGAACTAAGTGCTAGAATACTATAGTTGGCCTGACTGAGCCACAGGTGTGGATTCTGATCCAAGGTTTCTCACTTAATTGGCTATGATACCTTGAGCAAATCACTTTGGTTCTCTGCCTCAATCTCCCCACCTTGAAAAGGGTGGGTTGTACTAGATGGCATCTAAGGATTCTTTTCAAGGCAGGATAATATAATTTATGTACCTTGTTGCCAGCACTATATCTACTTTTTGCCTTTTGATATGGCAGGGGCAAGACACTCAGTCTTTCTGTATCTGGATTCACTCCTTGTCTTAGATCGTGCTCCCTGGAAACAGACTCTGAGATGCAGAGTCAGGGCAGAAATCTTACGGAGACAGCTCTCAAGAAATACACCTAAGGGGCTGAGGAAGGCAGGATTGGGCAGGAGGAAGAGAGTCAACCTACAATGCAGTTGCAACTGAGGTCTCAGCAGATCCTAATGGGGAGCTGGAAAGACCCTTCAGATTGTCCCCCATTGAGGCAAGGAGGTCTAGCCTCTATGTCCCTTCATCAACTGCCCTGTGGGAAGGAATATTACCTTGGTAAGCAGGTAAGTTCAAGGACAGTTCCTAGTGAGAAACTGTAGCTGTGAACTGAGACCAGCCTGTATTCCCAGCAGCTGGCAGATACAGTACAGGACACCACAGTATCCACTTTACTTCTCCAGAAAATCAAATTGCCTTGTCATGTAAAATACACTGTGTACTTGAGCTTTGACTCCACAGATAGAATGCAGCTATCTGTGACTCTATTCCTGTTAGGTAAGGGAACTTCTTTTAGAAGGTTATATTTCTGCACTATTCTTTGTATGGAAGAAAAAAATCAGAATTGGAAAGAACCCTGGAAATGATTCAATCTCTGTCTCAACGAAGGAACCACATCTATAGATTACTAACAGGAAGATCAAAGAGAAAAAAATATGCATTTACAAACAGGAGTCCAAAATCCAATGTCTTCAGGAGTCAGGCAACTAAAATTGAACAGCAGCAGGCATGATACATTAGGAAGTAGCAAGGACAGTGGCTGACCTAAGAAGTTTGTGCCCCTCTGAAGAGCACTGATATTCAAATGCCTTTAAAAGATTGGTGATCAATCAAAACACATTTGAAGGCTTGGCTCGCATGTCCAAATTGTCCTCAGCTCCCTCATAAGTAAGTGCAAGCTTTGGTTTTGCATTACTTAAATGACAATTTGTTTTTGGATGTCTTTTATTTTCTGAGAAATAAGTACCAAGATTGGCAACCATTTTATAAAACTACCTGGAGTGAGTAAGAGAAGCCTGGGTTAGGAGGGCAAAATGACAGGGAAAACAAAGGCAGGAAAAAGCCGCCTTAAACCAGTAATGTCCCTCAGGAAATAACCCCTCCCCCAGCCCAGCTCAGCCCAGCCTAGCCATGGCAATGTTTATTTCCTGCTATGTCAATGTCATGATTGAGGAGAGCAGTGCCTGGCTTTATTGGAAAAACCACATGCTGGCAGTGAGATAGAAATCACCACTTTTCCATCAACATTTAATCTACACTGACTATGATACTATTCCAGTAAACAGGACATCAACATTGAATGGATTAATTTTTTTAAACTATACTGTTCGCTTTACACTGAGATGGTGGTAAAAATACAAGCAAGGCATGTCCCTTAGCCTAAGGAAGCTGGCTGAGATATTGGAGGAAGTCAGTGAAAACAAAGGAAGGTACTAGGTAATAGTAACAGTTCTCTTTCCTCTCTCAGAGCCCAGGGCTTGGTTCTCTTCCTTGACCGTGGCCATTTCTTCAGAGTTCAAAGACCAAAGCAGGTCCCTAAGTGACAGCTAGTATGAGCTGGTTGTCCTAGCCTGGCCAGGTTTCTGAAGGTAGCTTTGCAGGCCTCATGTGAAAAAGTTGGCTTGAGGGAACTTGCCATCCCTTAAAGGTGGGCGTGGGCTCTTCAAGCAAGAGCCCCCCTTAATGCATATGTGATCCATAAAAAACTATTATTTATTTACACTTCTTACAGTCACACCTCAACGGAAACCAGGTTTTCCTGTTAATGGGCCTCAGATATTTTCCACAAACCACTGAGATTTGTGGGTGAAATGGGGTGGAGGGAGTGGCATAGGTGTATGCTGGGGAGGTGGGGTGGGGGCAAGTAAAAGAGGAGAATGGAGGGTACTTAAAGATCCACACAGCAACACAATAATGAGAATCTTGATCGCTTGATACCACCAAGGTGAATAGGTGTCATTTACTTGTGTCATCTACTATTTACATGTCCCTAGACAGCCACTCCGTAACTCGGAGTACCTGCTGTGCAGAGATAATGCAGGCAAGGGCTCAGCACAGAAAGCATTCAATAAGCATCAGCTAGTCTCCATTGACCTTTTAGAATAGAAGCAGACAGAAAGCACTTTTAAAATTTTATGAGCTGTTACCACCTTGCATTTCTTACAATCATTTAATACATATTTATTGAGCACCTACTATGTATTAGGTAGGCACCATGCTGTGATTCAGCATTGAACAAGATAGAACCCAACTCATGAAGCACGTATCAATTGTAGACACTATGCAACACGTTAATCATGGCTCTGGTCAGTGCTATTACAGAAAAGCCTAGGATGCTATGAATGTGAGGAAAATTATATTTAAGGCAAAGTTACTAGGATATGTCCTTAAGCCTCCGTAAACATCACTGTGTGGCAAATAAGGACAATGCATAGGACCGAGAAACGAAGTAAAAAGTTGCATGACTAAATGGTATAGAAAACCACAGCAAGTACCATCAATAAGTGCTGAATTTTAAATCCCTTCGTCCCACTGACCACAGTTTACCACATGAGTCTTTAACTGTTCCCCTGTGTGCCCAGCCCTTCTGTGCACTTGGAGATCTTTATCAACTATGATTCACTATCTCCCAGTCCCCTCTGCTAGGGGATCGCCACTATTTGCTTTAAAAGAGTGCCATCTTCTGGCCAAACACAGTTTTTTCCTTCCAATGGAAATTCTGACATATTCAAGACAGTTTTGTCCTCTGGGAAACTAAGAGGTGTCAACTCTACACAGAATTTCCTGCAAATGTATTTGCCTGTACTCTTTTACTTTCTTTTCATTTGTGGCATGAATCCAAAAAAATGATATGTGATATTCATAGCCTTTCCTCTGCCCTAATCCTCCAGGAAGATGTTTTTCATTAGAACTGCTTGGCTCCTCAGCCTCTGTTCTGTCCATCTGGGTAATGGGTGAAGAGAAAATTTATGGGAGCTGAGAAAGGTGGAATTGCTTCCACCTTATAAATGGCAGGGAAGTAATCTGGGAAAATCAGGAGGAGGCTGGGAAGAAGAAGGGAAAGTTTCAAAAAGGCAACTTGGGGCTCTGGAGGAGTCCAGCTGGAGAGAAGAAGGAATTTTCACAAGCTGCCTTGACAACCCAGAAACACAGAAAGTAAAGAGGGAAGGAAGCCAAATTTCCTAGGTTTGGCTAGGAGTCGTGTGGTATAATAAAGATCTACATTACTCTTCAAGCTTTGGGGATCAAAATTATAGGGTTTTTTAGACACTGTATTGTGCTGGGACGACTTTTGAGGTTCCCCCAAAGCACGCTAGATTATTTGAGGCTGTACAAATTCAGAAAACATACAGCTAATAGTGTCTGACATCTTGAATACTGTCTAAGAGTCCTGTGTGTTCAGTTTATGGGATCTCAGTGGAACTAAGCAGAAAGAATTTCAACTACTCTACCCTCAGCAAGATCAACATCTAAGCTGGGAAACTGTGTATCCCATCCCAGACATACAATAAATACATAATACATCTGGCAGTGAACTAGATTTACATTAAGAAAATGAGCAAAGGAGGTCTGCTTGCCCAGGGTGTGTATTCATCTGGCTACCAGAGGTTATTGTATCACATCAATCAGCAAACATGGGAGATGCAGGTATGAGGCCCCTAGATGGGCCCAATGATGGTATTAGATGGGCTTTGTATTTAGACTGTGCAGAGCAGGTCAAGAGTATATATCCAAAAGGCAAGTTCAATGGGAGATGGGGCCAATTTAGACAGGCCAAAGGGAGTGAGGGCATATCAGCTTCTCTCTCAAGCAGCCTGACTACCTTTGCTATGTCAGCCCTTTTAACTTTATGGGCTGTAATAGTGTCCTATTGCCCCTATAACAAATTAGTACAGGCTTAGTGGCTTAAAACAATACAAGCTTATTATCTTTCAGTTCTGGACGTTAAAAAGTTCAAGATAAATCTTACATGGCTAAAATTATGTTGGCAGGGATGGTTCCTTTTTCATTTTTATATATTTTTTTCTTTTACATTTTCCTCACCATTTGACTTTGCAAATAAGGCAAAGTTGGTTCCTTTTGGAGGCTCCAGGGGAGAGTCCATTCCTTGCCTCTTTCAGTTTCTAGAGGCTGCTGACATTCCTTGGCTCATGGCCACATCACCCCAGTCCCTTGCTTCCAGGTACGTGCCACCTCCTCCTCACTTTGATCCTGCCTCCCCCCTATGAGGACTTTTGTCCTCATTACACTGGGCCCACCAGGATAATCTCGCTATTTTATGTTTCTTAATCACATCTGCAAAGTCTCTTTTGCTATGTAAGGTAACATATTCATTGGTTGCAGGGCTAGGACATGGACATTTGACTGGGCCACTATCCAGATTACCACATAGGCCTTATGTTCTTGAAGACCAAGAGTTCAATGCCAGCATTGGCCTGTCCTCATATCCCTGCTATTCCAGGCACCTGAATTTGGAGCAGCAAGTAGAACTTTTAGTGATTTAAAACCACATGGGCTTCCACCAAGGCCTGCCCTCCTCCTGTCACATACAC